AATGTTGTATATTTAAAAACATAAACAATATACTTATACAATTGCTTAAAACATGTTGATCCTTGATATAGTTTACAAATCATATAGTATTTAAATGCAATCCCAAATAACACGAAATTCAAATGTATATTAGTCTTTCAAAATTCACTCATTTCAAGGTTGCTACAATATATTATATGATATTACCTATGGTACCCAGTTACACTGCACGAACTGCATGGTATATCTAAGATCAAGGCCGTATCTGAGGGATCCAAACTGCTCGACTCCCCTTCTTCCAAAATTTCTTAAGCAGTTTACAAATGTTTAGAAAAACTGTTTATTTTTTACACAAAGATAAATATTTTCAGTCATAAATGGTTAAAACTCTAATTCATTAAATTTACTATTCACTGTTTTGTATCATAATATAATACGCAAAAATTATTACAGTGTCTAATAATAATGTTAATAATAATATAGTGTCTAATATTGTTATATTGATCGACAACGACCGCTTTTGATGCTGGTTGACGCCTTGACGATGTAAATTAAAAATATTATTTTAATAATATACCATAATCCTACAGATTGTGACAATCAAGTCGAATTGTTTTATTAAATATAGTGCAAAGTGAAAAATAATCAGGTACATTTATTAATTTAAATGTACATTTTTTTTTGTAATTTTGTTTATCTGATCATATATTTAAATAAAATAAGATTAAATCTTTTTTTTTGTCTCATTTTTACCCAAATGTCAGAGCATAAATTCAGTAAATATATAATAGACATTACACAGGTTTCAGATCCGCCCAGGAGAGATTTTGGATAAGGATTTGCCTAAGACCTACATATCGCTATTACAATCTATTATATCCATATATTACCTACATTATGAACAAATTTTTTTATATCAATAAAATAATATTAGAATCATAAATAATATTTTTTTTGTAATTACTTCATCTTTACAAAATTCAAGAAAGAAGTACGAATGCATTATATGGCACATACGTTTTAGAGACGCTGGATCAGACTATGTGAAGAATCAGGGACGTACGTTCAAACACCCCCCCGAAATATTTGGTTTTTTTATGGTTATTTATTTATTGAATTTTAATGTTGATTGTTATATAATACTTTTAGATAGGTATAATATCATACTGTGTTTGTGAAAAATTGGTTAAAGCAAAATAGAAATTTAATACTAATAAATAATTTGAAAAAAAAATAATAAAAATACTTTAACAGAATTTAGAAATAAAATAAAATTATATCTATTGGCGTATTTTCTATATTTATTAAAAAAAAATTCTACTTTTCTATAACTGATTTTCAAAAACACCTTCCAAAATTTTTTTCTGTGTACGTCCTTGTGAAGAATTTATGAATTTATGGACGAGGTTCTTAAGTGTAATGACAGGAGATTTTCGTCAAACATTATCTTTTACCCAACGAGAAACCCTTGTCGACGTATATCATCCATGTTCGAAAAAATAGCATATTTAAAGGCATGATCAAAAACTTAATCTTACAGCTAACATATAAGTTATATTCTAACATAGATATAGAGGTGGTGCAGCAGGATGTTTAATAAAAAACACATTTGTAAATTAGTAAAGGAAAGTTTCATTGATACCTACAACGAATAACATCATATTTTTTTTCAAAATTAATAGGATAAAAAATAAAAGTGGGAAATAATTGATTCACCAAAATCGAAACCTTAAGGAGGTTGATAATAAGTTTTTGTTCTATGTTTATCCAATTGTTTGTTTTTACACAATTCTTAAAACTAATTTTATACCCTAAATATAATATTATAATTAGTGTATAACATTTATTTTTGATTTAAAACAAAACTTAAAGATTTAAATTGTTTATACTTGGAGAGGGGAATGATACCTTTACTCTTTCGCAAAAATGTCAGAACAGCAAGTGCCCCCTCTTGCTCTCTTGCATTATGAATACAATTTTCGATCAAGAACAAACAGTAAATTATCCTTAATCCTACTGTTTTTGAACTTAAAATTTCTAAGAGTGTCGCATAGCATTGAAAAATTGTCACTTTTGTTATTAAATAAGATCTTGTTTTTTAAATTTTATGATTGAATTTATATGACCTAATAGTTGTAGATAACGATAATTTTAATTTATTTATTTATTACTTATAAATGTACAGACGTACAAAATAGTACTTTAAATTAAATAGACTTAATAGTCAAAGCTGATCTTTAATCAACTTGAAACTTAATAATTATTATTTGCTTATGTTCACTTTATCACAAAAGGGTTTCACCGAATTAATATCTATAAATTTACCGAATCTTATTTAAACAGATTGCTCAGAGATTATGCCATCAAACAGTTTAAATTTATATTATCATTAACACGTTTAGTTTTATTTTTAGATATTTTTTTTTAAGATGACCAACTTTTAAACAATGAATAAACATTTGAATATATTTTATACTTACAAGTTTGGAATGACCCATGACTCCATAACAGTCACGTAAGATACATACCAACAAACTGGACAAGTTATTTAATTTTTTTAATTAGTTTAAGTTAAGTTATTAAAAAAAAAAAAAAAATTAAGCGAAGTTAAATTTTAAAACATAAATTAATTTGAGTAACCACGTTAAATAAAATACTTTCAGAAAAATAATAACTTGTTGAGTTTAAAGTTAAGTTACTTTTTACTTTAATATACTCTTAACTAAGTACATTCATTAAAATGTGTATCAAATCGTAAGGCCAATAACTAGTTTTGATATAGTAGAATACTAATAATAATATTTAATATTATTATTACTACGTATATCTAATTGATAGACCAGTTTTGTCCAGATGGTTCGGGTGAATACGACATATTATTCTTGTTACTGAGCTTACGAGACAGTATTTATATACATTTAAAATATTCGATTTGAATAAGTTATGAAAAAAAAAAAAAATGTCTATAAACAAATGTAAAAAATATACAATTTATAATACGAAAACTTGTAAATAAATTTTTAAAAACAACTTTAACAGTATAAATAAATTAAGTTTCATAAAAAAAAAAAATAATTATAAATAAATTTTATTCATAAAAGAAAATAACTTGATTATTAAGTTATTTTCTAACATTAATTTTTTTAGCTAGTAAATTTGTTATTTTACTCTTCTTCATTTGTTTCAGTCTTGAGCGGACTGCCGTTTGATGTGGATCGACGACACAATTTTTCGTCAATAATCGAACATGGTTACTTGTGGTTTTACTTCTTAGTTATCTTGTGCATGATAATTAATCTCCTTTCAATGATCCACTCATCGATACGAAATACTATTGTATCTCTCAAAGCATCATCCAATTCGACCAAATTCGCAAGTTTAGACGTATTTCTAAGTAAGAAGTAGGTATCTCATTGGGTATTGAATATTCGAATTGTCATTTCATTGGCAGGCTGTCTGTGCTTCTCGGAGAACTCAAAATGTTGCGTAATGATACATGTATTGGGCTTTGGATCAATACAATCAATCAATTGCTTTTCGAGTTTATCATATTTTTTGTACTTAATAGGCTCCAGCGGCGCATACAGTTACACGTCTCGTTGTAGCTAAGAGTAATACCATTGCCATTTGTTCAACAACTTCAAAGCTGCTTCGGACACCACGTTTGATCCACGCGTTAAAATTGCGTTTCTTCAACCGCAGTTCTAGTAACTGCCCAACAATTCGCGTTTACTACTATTACTTCACTGATAGATTTCGTTTTCCACTTACATTAAATCCTATATTTGTTAAAAATTGGTTTTTTCAAGAAATAATAATAAACAAATTATAAGTAACATCGTTATAATATTATATTACGTAATTCATTGAAATCAACATTTCCACAACATATAATTTACATTTATACAAAAAATGATTGTGTATTTGTTAATAACCGTCAACCTGGAAAACCACACACACATTTTACAAGTATGTTCGGTTGGTGCTCCCATAGGTTTTTGTCGAACAAAATAAACAATATAATATATAAATCTTTTACGGGCACATGTGAAATATTGAATTGTACCTATTATAAAATTATCTATAAATTGTATGTTAAATTTATTTTTAGTAATTATAATACTGTATATAGTCATTTATAGTCTATTAAACTCGTTTGAGTATTTTAGAAATTTTTTAACATTCAACACAGTAATATTATTTTATTCGAGCAACAATCTACCAAGTAATTAATACCCATGAGGCTAAATAGTTAAAAGTAACATTTTAATACCTAATATTATATAAGAGTTCTATTGTAATTAAAAATAATAAATTAACAACTATTAAAATTTATATTTATTGATGTTGTACTAGGTTCAGTAGATTGTATTAAATGTGGTAACGATTAATTTTAATAATAATAAAATTAATATCTATAGTCATTTTAAACAATAACAACATTAAAAAGAAAGTAAATAATTAAAATAGATATCAAATGATATTAATTTTATCATATTATAAAAAAAACAAAGGATTTCAGATTATATTATAACTATACAAACAGTATGGATAATATTTAATGTTTAATCTGTTTTCAATGTTGTTTATCTTACATACTAATTTAAAATAATAAAATATAAAATCAGTCGACTATAAATTTAATTGTAACGCAAAAGAAAGTTTTAGAATATAATTTTAAATTAATTATTCAATCTTCAATAACTTAAATTTAAAAATAAATCAGTTCTACTTTTAAAAAGCATTTTAAAATTAAAAAAAAAATTAAAAATAATAATAGATTCATAATAATATAGATTATAATTCATCGCGTATTATATAGACAATAAAAAATATTTAGGATTAGGGTAAAATACACAAAGAGTATATATAATTGTTATTATTAATATTTTTAATGATTGAATTTAATTTATTTATTCTTCTTACACAATAATTGAAAATGTATATTGTTATTTGGTTAGCAATAAATTGATTTACAAGAAAAATAATTGTAGTTCAAAAGAAAGTTTTAATATATCATTTAAGATGTATTAATCATTTTTAATTTTGAGTAGGTTTTTTTGCGAGAGAACTGGAGAAATTATTTGTATCATTGATGATCTTACTGTTGTTGGTATTGGAATTGCTGGTGGAGGCGGCGCCAGAAATTTGGGGCGATAATAAATATTAGTTTTATCGGGTTTTCTTACCTTAATAGCATATGGTAATTGGACTTTAATTTCAGATTGATGTAGAACTGAAGATGGTAATATTGATTTAACATATGGCGAGTAGGAGTTTACATTAGTTAATAACGGTTTTGTGTATGTTGTGGACGTTGTTGATAATTTAGATACAATATTAACTGGTTTAATATAATCTCTTGATTTAGATTCTGGGATATGTAAAGGAAATGATTTTGCAGTTTTGATGGGCACACATTTATCTCCTACTTTAGATACACATAGGTCTGCTGTAGTATATTTTGGTGAAATAATTGAAACTGTATTATGGATTGATGAACAAGTAGTTGTAATTTCTTTGATTGTAAGTGGTTCAACAGTAGGTGTTGATCGTTTGCTGTACTGATGTAGATGTGACGATGAATCTATATATGGCTTTGAAGCATTTATATTGTCTTTAGGGTCACCAAAATGATTGTATAAATGTTCCATTTGCTCTTCGTAATATTCTTTGACAAAAGGACTGGCTGTTTCAGAAAGAACCAGTTCTCCATTGTACAACATTCGAAAGTTTTCCATTAGATACAGAAGCATGTCAGTATCATTTCCTATTCGGGAATATAAATTTTTGAACGTTTCATCTGTAGTATTACAAAATTGTTTTACTGCATTAAAAATGTCTTCAAAATATTCATGCATATCATTTACATTATATTCATCAACAATCGGTTCTAAACAAGGAAATTCAAAATAACCAGATTTAATTTTTGAGTTATTGTATGGTTTTAAAGCTTGCGAATTAATTATATTTTTACTGTCTAATATTGTTATAATATCTGATACTTTTATGTTATCAAATGTCTCTTCATTATCAGACATAACCATAAGTTGGGATTCTTTAACATTAGATGGTTGTTCAATTTCATCATCAGATATATTCACGCACTCTATTTTATCATTCTCATTCACAGACATAATTTTGCATATAGATAATTTTATTTTATCGGATTCCTCTTCACTATCAGATATAATCATACATTGTGACTCTTTATTACCAGACAGTGGTTCAGTTTCATCATCAGATACAAACATACTTTTCACTATAGATAT